ACATTTGCAATAAAAAAATTTTGATTAGGCAATGGAAATCGAAAACAATTCGAGTTAATGCATTATATATGAACACTTAATACGTTACTATTTTCATTTTCATTTCTTATTCGTTACATACGTTTATATGCTGATAAAATTAAAAAATTACACGAATCTTATACGCATTACTGTTACATGTACCATGTAAATGTAAAGATTAAACGAATTACACATCGAATTTAATTAAAATGTGTGCTTATAGTGATTTGAGTTTTACAGCTTCATGGATATATTAAGCAATTTTTCCTGTGTGCATCGATTATGCATGTTACGATAATTTGCAGTAATTTGCAATAATAGAATAAATGGTATCATGTAAATTTGATATCATTGACAAAAATCAATTTGACAACCTATATAAATGTTAACCTAACCTGAATCGATCTTTATGCGAAAAATGCAGGGAAAAGTTATTGAGGCACGAACAAAGTTACGATAGAATTTTCGTGATGTCAACTGGAAATATGCAATTTTCAGCTTTCAGCGAATAAAGACCCTGATCTCACGGTTAGGAACAAAGGTGTTCATGTATTGTTCAGGTTCAGCAATGTTCAAGGACTTTCGGTAATCGTCCACTACGTGAATATGAAATCGATTAAAAAATAAGTCGAAAATTTAAGCAACAAATAAGTATACTAGCCTGTCAATTTTCCAGCTTGTTGGAAAATTGATTAAAGTTAGTAATGAAACGACCACCGGAAATACACTGGAATTTCCGGCGTTGTCTGTTGGATCTGTCGTTGTGATTGGAGAGATGAATTGCGTCTGAGTAGAAAGAACGAATAGCGTCGTGTTAATAGAGGCTTAGAGGGAATCGGAAACTGTTGCTGACTCTCTTTCTTTCGGTCGTAAGCCGGCACCGGTTCACCATAAGAACCGACTGTGACGCGTGCCAACTGTTCCGAAATTATTCTGGTGCGCAGTACACCGTTGCATTTACTGATCTCATCGGTTCCACCAGCCTACCTTGTATCTTCTGACGTGCTTTTAACGCGGTAAGCTCTAAACAGTACGCGATGGCGGCGGTTGACTGTTACCAGAATCAAGCCCAGACCGAGGGTACCGGCCAACAGACACAACAGCAGTCTCAACAGCAGCAGCAACAACAATCACAGTCACAGCAACAACAACCCCAGCAACAACAAGCCACTGCCGGAATCCCAGGGAAAGATGACGAACGCAAACTTTTCGTCGGTGGCCTATCGCGTAATACCACCGACAAGGAATTACGGGATCATTTTAGTAAATTTGGAGAGATCGAAAGCATCTCCGTTAAAATCGACCCCTACACCGGTGTTTCACGAGGTTTTGCGTTTATGGTATTCGCCAATCCTAAGACAATCGACAAACTTCTGGCTTCTGGCGAGCATTACATCAATAAGAGAAAGGTTGGTTATACTGCAGAAATTAAAATCTATTGCTAAAGCTTAAGAACTACTTTCCAATTATTTTTGTATCTTATTCCTTCAATGAGATTTCCTTTGTTTTGGTGTAGGTGGATCCCAAACGGGTGAGTAAAAAGCCCCAACATGGTAAAATTTTTGTGGGTGGCCTTACTCCTGAAATTACCGACGAAGATATCAAAACATATTTTGGACAATATGGTACAATTGTCGAATTACAAGCACCATTCGATAAGGTAAAAAATCAGAGAAAGGGATTTTGTTTCATAACATTTGACTCGAAAGAAGTAGTGTACAAATTACTTAAAACACCTAAACAAACGATAAATGGTAAAGAAGTGGATGTCAAGAAAGTGAAAGTTAATCCAGACCCAAGGAATCAAGGATTTTGGGGTCCAGGCTATGGTTATGGATATGGCGGAGGCTATGGTTACATTCCTGAATACTGCAATGGCTATCAAGGAGGATATGACGATATGTATGCAAACTATGATTATGCTGGTTATGATGGGTATGACAACATGGGATATGGGGTTCAAGGTAAGCCAAGAGGAAATGGTCAGGGACCACGTCAATTTCAGAGACATCAGCCGTACTAAAAACAGATTTATAAATCCTACATACTCAAAATTTGGTGATAAAGCAAGAATATAGCAAGGAGTAGACCAACTTTGTCTGAATGCAGGCTAAGACTGAGATAGGGAAATTTGGGATAAAAGAGCTTGTAAGTAGAGTCATTGGGAAACTCTTATAGAAGCACCAAATTCCCTGATCTTTGTACATTGGGTCTGTAAAATACTAGATAGCTCTATGTACATTTACTAAAAGAGAGGAAATGAATTTTCAATTGATTTACGATTGGTATAATTTAACGAGTCAAAAGAATCATGTCTTTTTCTATCTATGCACATTTTATCACTTACTACATAAACAAGCTATTCATGAAACTATTAAAATAGATGTCCAAGTATTTTTATTAAAACCGAATACTTTATATATGAAGCTGTTTCTCTTACATAGGAACCATACATAAGCTAAAAATTGAAACGATTGATTTACTCCTATTTTCTTGTTATTCATGATTCATAATACTAACATGTATATCTTATAATTTAATACTCTAATTATTCTTTAGCATCTTAAGTTGCATTACTAAAGTATTGTTTATTATATGCTTGGTGTTAATCTTATTAGAGAACACAATGCTGTGTTGTTCACGATAGGACTTTATGTTGATAAACAGTTTCAGTTCAGAAAGCATGTGTCAGTTAGAGGTAATTGATAGAAGTAAAACAAAATACCATTCATGGACCAATGGTTCGTACTCCTAATTAAATGTACTTCTTCCTCATAAATTTATAACCTATACGTATTATCTAGTATCATCCATAATTGTTTGTACACTAAAGTAAGTTCTGTAACTTATACGAATCATAAGGTATTGTAAGAAACATACGTATCCTCGTATGTTAATATGTATATACGTGTACACATACATACGTTGTACACGTGTGCGAATTAGCATATAATGCAGTAGGAATTAAGAAAAAGATAAAAATATTTCAAAATGAATATAATTAAAATATGAACGTCCTGGGTAGATACGCGAAGAGTGCGCGAGTGGTAGAAGATGGTTACAAAATATTCTAAAACAATATTTGAAATCACATCAGAAGAGCAATAAATATACCGTAATGTACACAGAATTTTATAATGAGTTATTTAGTATCTTTCTTTCTTTTTTTCCCTGTTTTCTTTTTGTTTTTGTTGATATTTTAATGATATTTTAATTGTCATGAAAACTACAGCTCCAGAAGTACCTTTAATACAATTAATGATTTCCGAATGTTGCTACACTCGTGTACTCCTATGTCTCATAAAACTCAAGTATAAATATAACAAAACTGATCATGGCTTGTTATATGAAAAATGTTTTGAAGACCCTGAATCAACAGAATGTTTAAGGCATTGAAACTAGCAGAAATATAACTTTTGTATAATTTAGGCTACTATGACATTTTTTGCATTTGCATCAAACAGTTGTTCCTGTCTGGTGTACAAAGACTGCTCTTCATATCGCAAGAAGACTGTTAATGTGTAGAGTATCGTTTGAAATGATACAAATACTAGAGAATTTGACAGCCAATACATCTTGTGATCTTCTGGACTAAAAAAAAATGTTTAAAGATGACAAAATAAATACATATAGCAAATGTAAATATGGCATTGTGAGGATTACATTTAGGTACATCGAAATTATATTACACACAAGGCTGATAAGGCTTTAAACATTCAAGTTTTTCTCAGATGTTACAAAAGTAACGACAGTTTGGCTTAAATAAATTTCATAATACACATATACACGGAGACTGCTCTTCATATCGCAAGAAGACTGTTAATGTGTAGAGTATCGTTTGAAATGATACAAATACTAGAGAATTTGACAGCCAATACATCTTGTGATCTTCTGGACTAAAAAAAAATGTTTAAAGATGACAAAATAAATACATATAGCAAATGTAAATATGGCATTGTGAGGATTACATTTAGGTACATCGAAATTATATTACACACAAGGCTGATAAGGCTTTAAACATTCAAGTTTTTCTCAGATGTTACAAAAGTAACGACAGTTTGGCTTAAATAAATTTCATAATACACATATACACGGAAAAAAACCGTTTTTTAAAAAAAAAAAAAAAAAAAAAGAAAAGAAAATATTTTAAGCCAAGCTAATTGTGCTTTTGGAAAGTGAATCTGTATACTATGTATACCATATTTGCTGCGTGTGGAAAAAATATATATATATATAAAAAAGAGATCAGATTGTGAAATTAAAGCAAATAACACAAATATTTTGTTACTATTGATTACTATTCGCCTGTTTCACCCATGACACAGTGTATATTTTAATTATAACAAAAAATAAAATATTCATTACTTGAAAAGTATTTTGTGATATTCTTCTTTCAATGAAAGCTTATAAATAAATAGAAAAGTACTCTTCTAAAAAAATTTATACAATTATCTTGAAAATGGTAATTTGATACAAATCCTTTCTCATCCTGACTTCGATTTAATTTTAATAAAAATATGAATTTCAGTTTTGTAGGTTATTATTATAGCTTTATATTGCTATAATTAGTATCATCAACATTATTTTCTATATATATGTACCCTTATATATCCCTATATAATATATATATATATATATATATAGGAAGATTGCATAATCATAATAAGTATAAATAAATATATATCTGAGCAAATAAAATTAATAGTGATACTTAAGATATGAATCATCGATTAATTTGAACAAGTTTTCCGATCATTTAATCCTATAGTGCTTTATATGTAAAAAAAAATTAATAGAGGGAAAATATGAAAATATAATATAACGTAATACAAATGTTAGAAATACTTTGTCACATATATAGTATTTTATATAAAATATTTCTATAAAAAAGAAAAACAAAATATTGCTATTTATTATTTTTGAAAATGAATGTTACAGTATGAACAAAAGTGTACATTAAAAACGCGGCTTAATACTCGTTGATGGCAGTTGCATGCGTTGCATGGGTGTAAACGGACGGACGTACAGTCGGACAGACAGCTGCAGTGTCATCATCTTGCTCTGTGCGTCTTATTGTACGGAACGAGCTTGAAGTGTCGGAAGTTCGAAAAGGAGCAAGTTGCTACTATGCCTCAGCGAAAACTAACCAAAGTCACGTTACTATTAATGTTGCCTGTTTGGCCAAGAGAATTCGCGATGTAGCCTCTTATACAGTCGATCTCATCGCGTTCGCGTTTATTCCTCATCCGATGTACCGAGAAGTATCGGGAGCATTTCGTGCAACATTTTCAAAGCCAAGTCGCATGAAATCTCCTGTTGTTGTTCTCGTAAAAACATTTGTCTATTGTCGTGTCACCCTTTGTCGTTATTCTCGACCTTTTCATCTACGTTCATATCTCCGTTGTCATCATTCTCAAGTGCCTTCTCTTTCCCTCTTTCACACTTTTAACTCACTATTTTCTGATTTCAACCACGCGAAAAGCCAGTGTATGCATCGAGTGACGTACTAATATATTTGTTATTTCGGTAAGTTTAAACATATATTTTCCATAAAATTACAAATTCATATGCTTTATCGTATTTCTTACGTAGAATTTTCCGCGAGAGAATCATCCGCTTTCTTATTTCTTGCGCATTGTTTATTTGTTGATCGCTGATTCGTCGCGACTCGTGATTTGTGACTCTCTTCACAATACTATTCCGCAAAATTTTCCCCTGATTGCTACTCTTCGGATTAAACAATCCGCGAACAAGATACCGTTTGAAAATTGCTTAAGTTGCTCGAGAAAAATTTGTCAAGCTTTTTCCTGTGACAGTATACCGAAAAGACAACGATAATTGACGCAAACGCGATAAATGGTTTTGCGATCGATGCAACATAATCCTCGTTGCTTATTCTGCTTTATTGATTCATAATTATAAACAGCGTTTCTTTTATCAAAATGTTGATAAGAAGTTTAGCTTTTTCTTGGAATTAATTTATGCAAAAAATGCAAATTGTACGTATATAAAACGTATATTGAATTATCTTGTTTTTGCATAAAATTAAGTAGGTAAATGAAAATGTTTTAAAAGAAATCGTAAATGTTTCGATTAAATGTATATTCATATAACATGACAATATTATGAGTATTATGATCCTAGTATTTTTTGACAATAAATTTCATAACATTACTTAAGTAAAAATTGATTGAGTAAAAATAATAAAAGGATTGCACTGACCAAAATTTTTATTGCATCATTTCAATGTCGAATAAACATCAATATATGTAATGCCTTATAACACATTGTTTTCTTTCTTTTTTTTTGAGTTGAAAGGTAGAATATAATATATCGTATAAGTGATAAAAATATAGAAGCCAGATATATTCTGTAAAGTTCATTTTATCCTTACATAATTGTAAATAATGTATTAACTGAATTAATTATAAAGTTTAATAATTAAAATTGAATACCCCATTATGTAGAATGATATATATAACAAAAAGTTCGTTATTTTTTATAGAGATAAAGTATAATAACACTGACAACAGCCAGATTATACACATTGCAAGATAATTATATATGTGTTAAATATACATTTCAATATATTAAAATAATTTTATATAAAATCATAATAATAAAATCATAAAATTTTTTTATTTATAAATATAACACTCTGTAATATCTCTGAAATTCTAATAATTTGCAGATATGAGGTGGATGACTCATTCCAAAATGCATCGCATTTATTAGACATCTTCAAAATAAATGGATCTTTTTGCCAACTAAAAGGCAAAGTGTTCTTATTTGATATATAGAATAAAAGAAAAAATGTCCCAATTAAGTATTAGTACTGGGAAGAGAGGGAGGAGTGTTGCAAGCTCCTCCGCATCTACTGTATCATCTCTAAGCAGCTCAACTGACCTAGCAAGCCTATTTGAATGTCCAGTTTGCTTTGATTATGTTCTTCCACCAATCTTACAATGCCAGAGTGGACATCTTGTTTGTAGTAATTGCAGACCAAAACTTAACTGCTGTCCTACCTGTAGAGGTCCATTAGGTATGTAGATAGCAATAAACTGGAACTTGTACAAATAAAAGTAGTTTTTAATATTGTTTTGATGAGAAATTCTTTATGAATCTGTAATGCAGGTAATATCCGCAATCTGGCAATGGAAAAAGTGGCAGGTAACGTGATGTTTCCCTGCAAATATTCAACAAGTGGATGCACAGTGTCGCTAGTGCATACTGAAAAGGCAGATCACGAAGATGCATGTGAATTCCGTCCATACAGTTGTCCTTGTCCAGGAGCTTCTTGTAAATGGCAAGGATCTCTCGAGCAAGTAATGCCACATCTTGTTATGAGTCACAAAAGCATTACAACTCTTCAAGGTAATTTTACCAAATAAGACACGCATTTGTGTTTCCTTTTATTACACAAATGTCTAAATCACTTTCGTTACAGGGGAAGACATTGTTTTTTTAGCAACAGATATTAATCTTCCTGGTGCAGTGGATTGGGTAATGATGCAGTCTTGCTTTGGTCATCATTTTATGTTAGTGCTTGAAAAACAAGAAAAGTATGATGGACATCAACAATTTTTTGCAATTGTTCAATTGATTGGTTCAAGAAAACAAGCAGAAAATTTTGCTTACAGGTATGTATTATTATAGCGTAGATAGCAGTTAAAAGAACTATTGCCAATTGGAACACGTAATGATAATATGTAAATGCTTATGTTCAACAGACTAGAATTGAATGGGCATAAAAGGCGCCTAACATGGGAAGCTATGCCGCGTTCTATTCACGAAGGTGTTTCATCTGCAATTTTAAATTCAGACTGCCTTGTATTTGACACCTCCATCGCGCAATTATTTGCCGATAATGGAAATCTAGGAATTAATGTTACAATTTCTATGGCATGAGGAAAGCTGGAAAAAGCAGTGTAAAATATTTTAAATGTATCAAGCAGTCTTTTGATTGTAATTCAGTCTTTGCACTGAGGATTGTCCGTTATGTACATATAGCATTTTTTTACGTTACCACAGATAAATATTAGCAATATGGATGTTAGGATATGTTTGGAATGTGTTGATAAAGCACAGCAATCAAACGCTCAGTTACAGGACCTCTCTTTAGAAGCTTTAAAGTGTACTTGTATGTGATATTAACATTACACATGGAAACAATAAACAATCATTCAGTATACTTATGCTGACTTTAAAGCTTTAGCACTGAGTATAACATCAATTCCAAAATGTACCTGACACCTATTGCACACTGTTATCATGTTCTTTTAGTCACTTCTTACTGAGCCAATTTAAAAAAAAACAATTTCTTTAATTTTGATGCTTACCAATTTAATTCTTTATAGAAATAACGTTATATTCTATAAAAAAAAGTAGTTTTCGTTGATAGATCAATAATGATCTGTTGATATACAGCATGGCATTATAAGTAAAAATTGATGGTACATACCTGAAGAAATCCTCTATACGTAATTTTTTACTATGTAGTAATATGTACTAAGCTGCATCAGTCATTATTTATTTTCATTTAGAAATTTTGCGTGGTCGCATATTTATTGTAACCTCATCTTTGTCTATAATTATAGTTAAAAAATAAGTTCATTTTAATAAATTTACTTTCATTTTAATTAAGACACATATTATAATTATTATCTATACTTGATACTTTGTATTTAACTTTTCATTATTTTTCAAAACTTTCATTAAGAAACTACAGTTTGAGACCATACAAGAACTCATATAAAATCAAAAGTTAGTTATAAGTTTGCAAATATACTGCTGAGAATTTATGATTATTAAGATGTGCTCAAAGATATTCAGAAAAAGTTGTTATTACTTTATTACAGGAAATCTTCTAACTTACGCTAATACACAGTGCATTGAATTATTTCTTTTGGTGAGCATTACAAAGATTGATAACATTATTCCATCTACTTTAATTTTATGAAGAAAAAGTATTAGAGTATATGTATCAGCAATATATACGGGAACACGAAAGTAGTTGGTATACGATAAACAGGTGCAAAATAATAGAATAAAATTGCGCAATTTCATCCTTTTTTACTGACATAAAAATGAACAAACTTATATAAGGAGAAATTATAATTTCAGAAATACATAGTTTCACTAAATTGGTGCATAGTAGTTTTATAAATAATAAGTGACATTGTAAATAATTTTCAAACTATCGTCCGTATAAATTTTTCGAGTGTCGTGTATCAAATTTGAGGAAATTCGATGATGATTATACAGTTAAACAAAGTTGATTAACGTTTGTGCATTAAGAACAAAAGAGATTTGTGCAAAAGAAATTAAAATTACATGAGCTTGATCCTAATCAAATTTGAAATTCTCAGGTCAAACCAAAATGTGGAAGACAACCGTTTTTACATCACCATGAATAAAGGCATATAAATTGCTTAACATTCCAGATGTAAGTGAAAAGTTATTGTAAATAGAACAAATTTGACATGTGTGATAAAATTATTAATTGGTAATTAAATTAACATGTAAACATGCATATGTATGAAGTTCGAAGGAATATGGGAACCAATTGCATGTTATGCATATGTATAAGTATATATAAATATATAAGCGTGACACACACACATATAATATATAACTATATGAAAGTGTATTTATATATATGTATATATATGCGCATATTAAACTTATACAATTACTTTTAAGTTTACATAAGTGTACTGCAAAATGAAATACTTAATTTTGATGGTTTTAAAGTTTCTGCAGTTTTGGCGGTTACTAAAAAAAAAAGACATTCGAATGTAACATTCACGTTAATTGTTATACTATCAGACGATATCAGAATATCCCCCTCCCCTATAGTCGTAATGCATCAATGGAACCGCATATTTTGCACATTTAGATGTAATTAAAAATATCTGTTGGAGAGCTATTATATTAAAAAGCTTGATGATAGATCTAGAACAGAACTGAACGGATAAAATATTACTGAAAAACAAAGTACGCTAGTAATTAAATACGATCTTAAATACGGTCAATAACGATCGTTCCGAGTATTGAAGTGCGAATTTCGTTAAAAGGATGATATGTGTATTATTAAGATGTATATACATATAATTTAATGATATTATTTAGATATTTATATATAGATATAAATCTAAAATTCATCACAATGTAAGGTTTAATTGTTCATTATAGCAATTTATTCTTACAGATAATGAAGGTATATACATATTTGTACCAATACAATCACTAAAAATAGTTAATTCACTCCTTAATTGCATACGTTTTCGAAATGTTGTAAGAATACGTTAAATTCTTAAATAACATATTCGCTATAAATATCAAGCATTAATTAATATTGAAATTTTTATAACGACTTAGTAATTTTCATTACGATGTGAAAAAAGAAACAATGTGTTGAAAGTAATGTTACATTAAGCATTAAATTATATGTAGACATTGTAGACTCGTGTATTATATTATTATCTGTAATTTGGTTTTACATACAACATAAACTTTTATGGACGACGATTTTTTTATAATATAACGATAAAATTTCTATATATTCCCCTAATTTTAATTGGATAATTTATTCTCAGTTACGTATAAGATTATAAATGAATACTTCGATATTGGTAGTATTAAATATGATTAAATATAATACTACAGATCCTGTTCCTAAACGTCGAATAAATTTGTTATTACATTAATATTGTATGTGAAAGTTTGTCAAGGTACCTCTTCCATATTTGTATTATATATAAGTTACGCAATTTACCGCGTATACGTTAAACTATTTGAGAAAACAAGACCTCAAGATAATTATGTCAAAATGCTGTTTTAAATTTATAAGTAGCACAAAAACTTATTAACAATACACGCATTCTGATCTTTTTTATAATAAAAAAAAATTATGACTGTTATACGTACTATCAAAATCGATACAGTGCCATCTAGGAACAATACGAGAACATGCTTGAAACAAATCGCGCTCGAATCCAGGGTTTGAATTCTTCTCTATATTCAAACTAGATCGTGCTTGCGCGAATTCTACTTGTTGCTCGGAAGCACGTTTCGTGGTCAACATTTATCCGAAGTTTTCTTAAAAGATTATTACAGTTTTAAAAAGCCGTTACATCGTACACGAAGAAAATGGCAAACTATCACAAACCAGAATCGAAAACCATTCTAGAATTGAAAGATATTGCGATAAAGTTGAGAATTCATTCGATCAATGCCACACAAGCCAGTAAATCCGGGTATGTGTGATATCCTATGTTATAATAGCAATACCATTAATTAATTATTCATTGTATAAATTTCTTATAAATCAACGTAGATCGATGCACCCTTACTAATTTTCGATCATCTTTATATTTAAGTTCTAATAAAGTTTGAACACTTGTAAAATCACGCGCGAAGATTATCTCAATGAAAACTGCATGAAAGGAGAATGTTTGCTTTAGAATCAATTATGTTATACAATACATGCACGGTTTTTTTCTATTTGATATTCGATACTTAATTACTATTCGATAGTTTCTATTATTTTTATGTGGTATGATCTTAATTTTTTTTTACATGACTTGTTCTTCCGAGTTATCATATTTAATGTTATATCACTTTTTTACATCTTCCTACATTATGTTTCATGGATCAATGTAATTTTATTATTGCACTTCATGTTTATGCACAGAGTTTATATCTATACGATAGTAAAAGACTATATTTTAAAATTGTTATGAACTTTCACTTTTAATGATTATTGATCAATGTGGGATAAAATATTGGAAAAATTTTCCAGAAAAATCTAATTTTGGATAAATAAATTTTTCAGTATATTTTTTCTTGAAAAATAAAGAAGAATCTATAGATACCTAAAACCTATCATATTAGAATTATCTAAGTTTCGTGTTAATCATAAATTATACCTTTATATAATTAACAATAACAATACTTTGAAGAATGGTCAAGAGTTGTCGCATCATTGCGCTGTGTATCTTGTAAAAAAATGTTCAAACTTTTTAGAAGGACAGTTATAAAAATAGACAGGAAATCATACCATGTTTTCTTATGACTTATGCAGAGCAGTAGCATAGTCAACACGTGCACAATACCAAAATGCACGCTATGAAGTAGTTACGTAATAAACATACGATAGTGTTGAAGAATCAAGAGCACATAGAATGTTGAAAGAGCTGGACATACCATATAAAATTGTTTATCCTTGAATATGATAAAAACGATTGCTACATAGTCTAAGAATTTGATTCGTCTATTATTCGTCTTTTCACGATACCTGTAACTTTTATAATAAGGTTCATGGAATTATCAAACATTTCCTTCACTATATTATTATTTTAATTAACAATTATCAATTAATCACGATTAAATTTTTCTCCATTGGTGTCCAGAAAAACGTTATTAATTAGTATTTTTTTAATTTTCTAAGGAAACTGTGTTGATAAAACATGGTTATTATAAACCAGATATTCTTGCTATCGGTATGGTAGTTGTAGCGATAGTACGAGTTCCAAAAGAGTATCCATGAAACGTAAACGTGCCGATTTTGAAATCTACGATAGCCTGTCTGGAAGAAAGTAGGGAGCGCGCAGTTACTCGCGAGTTGCGAATTATTGTGTTCGATGTCCCTTAGTCAGTCCCTCAGTTGCTATCGAACGTTCGGTGGGAAACGACTTCCGAAATTCTCTATAGTTTAAAATGGTGCGTGATACGAACATGGAAAAACTCCAAGACCTTGCGACCAGGCTTCGTATTCAATGTATTCAAGCAACTGAGGCATCAAAAAGCGGGTATGATACGAGTGAAATGTTATTCGAAAGTTTTTATAATCGCTTTGGCAAAATCGAAATACATACCATATCTTCCTCATATTTTTTTTAAAACCTCGCTGTCGTGGATAGATTTGTACTATAAACATGCTGATTTTTCTTCTTGGCATGTTCAAAAATTTTCTTTGAAATTTTTCAGGAAATCAGAATTTTGCAACAATTAGTAACTTATTACATTAAAATTAAATAATTACAAATTAAAGCATCCTTGTAGGTATATCTTAATGTTTTATTGCATTTAAGTATGTTCGCTATCAATGCGAAGTCAGCGATTGATAGTGCTTTAACATTTATAACATAATTGTAGATAAAATTAAAATATGAAGAACACATAATATATAAAAAACAATACATTTAATTAATAATCTATTTAAGATTTTTATATTATTCCTACTATGTAGTTTACGTTATCTAATCAAAGTAATTTAACGAAGTAAATTTTGCTGATAAATTAATTTTAGTATAAAAAAGTATAATAAAAGAAGAAAGATAAATTTATTCTTTGCAATGCAGTTAATGATTAGTGCCTTTTTTGCATATAAATCGTATTACATAACTACGGCTTTTAATGATTATTCCGATATTCAATGATCGTATGATCAAGATTGATATCCTGTATGACCTTTGAAGATAACAGTTTATGATTACGAAACTTATAATTACACGTTCCGATAATCTTTGTAAAGTCGGTGTATTCAAATTATTCTTCATTAATACCGTTATGAAAATTTTCTAATCTTATATATTTTTTTACTTTACATAGACATCCAACATCATGTTCTTCTATGGCAGAGATTATGTCCGTTTTATTCTTTCACACAATGCGTTACAAAGTATCGGCACCGCGTGATCCAAGCAGTGACAGGTTTATACTGAGCAAAGGTCATGCAGCACCTATTCTTTATGCAGGTAAATATTTGAAATTTATGCGCATTAACTAATCCTTATGAAGTTGTGTCAAATTCCGAGGTAACTAATAATTATATGGTTACAGCATGGGCCGAAGCAGGACTTTTCCCAGCAAGTGAATTATTAAATTTAAGAAAAATTGATAGTGACTTGGAAGGACATCCTACTCCAAGACTAAACTTTGTTGATGTGGGGACTGGTTCTTTGGGACAGGGCCTTTCAGTTTCTGCCGGAATGGCCTACGTAGGAAAAAATTTTGACAAAGCAAATTATCGGTATGTTGATATTGAAATAATTACCCTTTATTGTTTGTTTTATATAAAGCAATGTTGTACTTATGTTTTCAATGTATGATAATAATTATATGAATTATTTATCAATGTTTATGTAGCGTATATTGTTTAATTGGTGATGGAGAAGCAGCTGAAGGTTCAGTATGGGAAGCACTTCACTTTGCTTCTTACTATAAGTTGGATAATCTTTGTGCTATCTTTGATATTAACCGTCTGGGTCAAAGTGAACCAACATCTCTTCAACATAATATGGAAGTCTATCGCAAAAGACTTGAAGCTTTTGGTTTCAATGCATTGGTGGTTGATGGTCATGACGTAGAAGAGTTGGCCAAGGTTTGTTAGGAAAAATACATGTTCACGTATAAAAAAATATTATTTATGAATATAAGAAATTTAAAATAACATTTTGTTTATCAGGCCTTCCATGAAGCACAAAATACAAAAGGGCGACCTACTGCCATTCTAGCAAAGACGTTTAAGGGCAAATATTTCCCTAATATTGAAGATCAAGAAAATTGGCACGGAAAGCCACTTGGCAATAAAGCAAACGAAGTCATTCAAGTAAGGATTGCATTTCCTACATAATAAAAATAATTTTACATTTCTCTTAGAGACTAATAAAATGTTCAATTGCAGCATTTGACTGGAATGTTGAAAAATCCAGGTCCTTTAGGATTGCATCCTCAAAAACCATTAGTCAACGATGCTCCAGCCGTAGATCTTAGTAATATTAAATTAGCATCGCCTCCGAACTACAAATTAGGAGAACAAGTTGCTACCAGATTGGCTTATGGTACTGCTTTAGCTAAGGTTTGCATCCTTTTCTTTCAGTTAGGCGAGTATAATGCATTTTGTTGTTACCTGTGTGTTATTGTTATATTTTTTTATTTAGCTGGCAAAGAACAATCCTCGCGTCGTTGCTCTGGATGGAGACACAAAGAACTCTACGTACGCAGAGAAAATCAAGACAGTTGACCCAACTAGATTTATCGAAGGGTTTATTGCTGAGCAGAATGTTGTAGGAGTAGCAATCGGTGCAGCATGCAGAGACAGAACAGTCGCATTTGTATCTGCGTTTGCTACTTTCTTCACTCGTGCCTTTGATCAGGTAAAGTATGAAAATGTGAATAGAAAAGCGACTATGTTATTTCATACTTTTGATTTTGCAGATTCGAATGGGCGCTATTTCACAAACGAATGTCAATTTCGTTGGTTCTCATTGCGGTGTTTCGATCGGAGAGGACGGCCCTTCGCAAATGGGTCTGGAAGATATAGCTATGTTCCGTACAATTCCTGGTTCTACCGTCTTTTACCCATCCGATGCTGTTTCTGCGGAACGTGCCATTGAATTAGCAGCTAATACAAAGGGTATTTGTTTCGTACGCACATCTCGTCCTGCCACGGCAGTTATATATGAAAACGAAGAACCTTTTGCCATTGGCAAGGGCAAAGTGGTTAAATCTTCTCCTAAAGATCAAGTTCTCGTGGTTGGAGCTGGTGTAACTTTGTACGAAGCACTTAAAGCTGCTGATGAATTATCTAAAGTAGGAGTAAATGTTCGAGTGATCGATCCATTTACAATTAAACCACTTGATGCTCAATTGATTGTAAAGAACGCCAAAGAAGTTGGAGGTAGAATCGTTACTGTTGAAGATCATTATGCGGAAGGTGGTCTAGGGGAAGCAGTTCTTTCGGCGGTTGCTCTGGAAAGAAATGTTGTAGTTAAGAAGCTAGCTGTTACTGAAGTACCACGTTCTGGCCCTCCAAATGTGTTGTTGGATAAATATGGAATTAGTGCAAGCAAAATTGTTGCTGCGGTTCAAGAAATATTGAAATTGTAATCGTAGTGATTATATAAAGGTACTGGTATCGTTTTGATGTTAAAGAAATTACACAAAATCAACTGCCATATCGATATGTACGCAAAGCTACATAATATTTTGAAAAACACATATATGAGGAAAACAGTGCATTCCGTTTGTAAGCATTTACCGTACGTTTAAAACGTCGAAAATTTTGTTCTTGTTATTATATTAGAGAAGATGGTAGAAAAAGATTGTTCTTCTTTGTACATATACGTTTCAAAAGAAAAATATTAGACTTGAAAATTGTATCAAATTTTGATACTGAAGAAATATAATTTTATATGAAAGTTTGATACGTATACTGTTTATAGATTAACACTATTTTGGAATTATCATTCTACACATAAGTAAATAGATATATCTGCAACAAGAATTTTTTATTAACTTTATCGATACCTACTACCTCAGGCGCACAATTTTTTGATGTTAAATGTTATATTAAATACAAATAAAAGTTTTATGAGGACGTAAATATCTTATTTCTGTTATTGAATACAGTAATATATACCTATATGTATAGACGACTAACAAAGAATAGACACATCGTTACGCGATCAAAGAAGACAGTTTAAAAAATTGCGCGCAAATTACGATAGAAGGAAGTTTCAGCTCCAAGAAATTGGAAGAGAAAAGATTCGGAGGTAGGAAAATCCCTAGACGATGAAATCAGTTCAGTAAGAATGAGATTGTGATTGGTCGAGAAATTGTATAAAGGTTATGGTGAGAGACGAATAAAGAGAAAGATAACAAACGAGAAGAGACAGCAGCGCCACAATTCCCTGTTAAACAAGAAACGTCAACCATTCCCTGTTCTTCGGTTCGGTGTCTGGATTGCCGTTCGCTATCCAAATATCCAGGCTAGTACGGTCAAGTTATATATGTGTATGTGCGCGCAGGTGTCTCCCTCGCTCTTGATTCTCGTTGTTGGGTTATACGTAGTAGAGTATTGCGTGTACATAGGTGAACGGTGGCACGTGTATGCATGTGTTGGAGGTATACACGCGTGTGCGTTTCCCGTTCCGCGATTCGCGTATCCCGAAAAGATGGCCGCCATGAAAGCGTACGGTTGTGATGTTGACGTCGTTCACAGCAAGGCCGCGTCACGTCCTCGAAAAGCGTGAAAAGAAGGTGATTATTCGAATGCTTCCACGACTCTCATGGTGCTCTCTAACGAGAACGCGGTATAGCGAGAAAGTAGTTGATAATTCGAAACGCGAGTGCGGTGTTCGTAGGATCCCTCTCGCAGTGTTCGACGAAAACGACGAACAGAAGAGAGGAGAAAGAAGAGAGGGAGGACGAGCGAGGAACGTGCCCTGTAAGGGGTTGAAAGGAATCGTATGTGACAGAGAGAGGAGTGGACGAATAGCCTGTCGAAGAGCGGAGGTAAGAAGAAAGGAAAGAAGAAAAATAGGAAAGCGCGTGGAGAATACAACAGGGTGATACACGGAAGTTAGTGATAGCTAGAGAATCGCGGGTGGTTTATGGTGTCGCGAGTGAAACAAATGCGTGCGCGTCGTACGCGAACAAGCCTCTCTCTTGCCAACGATATCCCGGTCAACCTGTTTTTTGCATTTCCTTCGGGCTGCCTTTTACGTGTGACTCGAAACATTGTGTCAACGAGGGACGGCCATATTAATCCGTAGCCCCCGCCGTCACACACATATTCCAACAATCTTAACTCCTCGAGGTGGTGCCTCTAGTTTTACGATATTCGCTACATTTTTAGTGCGTATCCTATGTTGCGACCAATCTTCTGTTAACCGTGTCGTGTCGTATCGTGCTGTGCTGTTCCGTGTAGTGTCGTGTCGTGTCGTGTTGTATCGTGTCGTATCGTGTCGTGCCTTGCCTTCTAGCACCGTACCGTACCGTACCGTACGTATCGTGTCGTGATTCCTCGACTACTTGGATATACGCGTAAGATAATGTCCAGATTTTCGCCGGATGACGGTGCGTGTACCTAGTGCATGGACGGTGGTACTAGTGCATACGAGGAATATAAACGACCGCCACTACGTGAGTTCTATGCCACCCGATGTTCATGTATCGTTCCGAAACAACTCAACGGTTCTCCAGCACTGTGTCTATCCAGTTCACCAGCAGTACCACCCTTCCTAAATTCTCTACTATCCGCAGAGTAAGTAAATCAAATACATTTTTCTATGTATCTTTATGTTTTTATTTCTTTATTTACCTTGAATAACATACAATGGGAGAGAGGAAGGCTATACCTTGTATAAGCCAAGATTATACAAGTCAGAAATAGATAGCAGTAATCATTTTGACTCATAGCACTCATCGTGGTTAACATATGAAGGATCATTATATATATTTCAAGCCAGTATTTTATAAAACAGCCTGTTTCAAAGTTTACGCATAGAAGATACCTGTTAGTAATACATGCATTTAACGATGATCAGACGATAAGTTTTTCTGTAAACCAATGTGAATCTTTAATAAAGTGTTTAGATCCTAACTACTTTTTGAATGCTGTTTTACTAGTTTATATATGTTATTGTTTTGTCGGATACAGATTTATGCTACGCGTGCTATGTTATAAAGAATGATTTATTGGATTAAGTAAATTAAAGCGACGTTTAGATTCTCTTTCAAAATTATAGACGTCGTCAGAGAAATTAAGTCTTGTCATAACGATCAAAGATATCGTTTTGCTCCAAAGACAATGTAACGTCTTAACTACTTTATTAACTTTACAATGGTCCATAATAAACTATTTTATCAGTTGTTTTGCTTGGTAATATGTTGAACAAGTATTGTTATTCAAGATGATAAAATAATGGGAGGAAGCAACAGACAACATAACCTCATCTTGAAATGACAGGAAAACAAGGTGTCTGACTTAAGCGGATGTAATAATGTTATAAACATTTAATTTAAGAACAATAGTAATCTTAATCCACGAAGTTATCAATACCTGCTATTATTAACTTTAGTTTTTCTAGAATAGAATATGTTTATATGCAAATACAAATAGTTCTGTACATTTTATTAAATATTACTAAAATGAAATGGTAAATACAAAAACATAGAAACGAATGTACAAAAGTATGTATATAACAAACATGAAAATAAGCTTAAAACAATATTTTCAAAAAAAGATAAAATGGCGAATTACTTTCGCTTCCTCGTTGTGACGAATGCGAGCTAGGTCGAAAGAGAAATAATAGCATAGGAGAATCAATTGATCACGTTTGTCATGTAAGTAATTTTTAAGGTAAAAAGACAGTTTTGTGGTGATTAATCATTCCCCTCGTAGCAGCTCGGCCTATTTAATAGCGTGTTCCAGTGGCCTGTCGCTCGGCCTTTTTTATACCGGTTTCAAAGGCGGTCGAGTGTACTTGGTATTTCGTAGCAATGTGTCGTTACGATGATACCGTGCGAGGTTTCTGCCAGTATCTTTCTTTTTTCTTTCCTTTTTTTCTTTTCTTTTTTCTTGAAAACACTTTTTCTTGTATATGTGTATATCGTTTCGCAGTTTCCCATTCGCGATTACAAGTTCTTGTCACATTCGGTATCATCGTGCCCTAGTGTGGTTCGTGGTCTCACGCTTAAAAATTGCTCTCGACTAAAAGTCTGAGTATTCGAGTCAGTCAGGTAGCAGGAAAATAGATGATCGTTTTTGAAGTACATGCTCGTACCGGCTAACGACAGGCAGGATTATTAAGGCACTTAAGCTCAGACTACTAACTTGTAACTTGTAGTTTGCATAAATGAATAAATGTAACTGACAAGTAAAAAGTTCCTGCTAACTTGAGAGAAGCGTTTTAGTGGATTTGATTTTTCGCCAAACATCTTTTCTGTTTGGGAAACTTCAGTATTTTACGACGAAATTCTCCTGCTTTAGAAGATTCTGTCACTCGCGAAGAATTTTTTCGTATTACAGAAGATTTTATCTCTTCCAAAGAATGTTTCCTCTTTCGAAGAGTTTGCTTTTTCGAGAATCTGGTTTTTTCAGTTTGACTGAGTAAACTGCTTATAAAAAAACAGCGGATTAACGTTTTGAAGAGGGCTATTGCTGGATCTCTAGCAGTTGGAAGTAACAGCTCGTGCTCGCTGTAATTTATTTGCTTTTTATTTATCGGCCTGCTGTTCATTGTTTTAGAGCAACATCGATTCACTTGTACCGATATTTATTTTCATTTCTCGTTTCGCTGGTCCATTACACTCTGCACGTAGTTTACAGTTCCTATAACGAAAGCACATAATTTACCTTTCTTTCAACGAGTGTATATCGTTTGATCGTTGAAATTTCGTCGGAATTCAAACTAGATATCGGTCGGCAACATAAACGCGTACATAGTTACCGGCAAATAGCTACAGGTGAATTCGTAATTAGCCTCGTTCTCTTTTCACGTTGAATAGTAGTAGTTGAACTATGACAGTTGTAGAATATCGAGCGAACCGGTTGAACGTTACAGGTTACGAACTCGATCGTTTTCAATTTTTATCTTATCTTCGTGTTTTGATTTTTACCACGCGATAAAGCCACGAGTACTCGTTGAACATTGCTTTTGTTTCACGTCGATTAGTGAGAATGGTTTATGATTAACGCGTTATCGTATATTAATTCCTTTTGATCCAAAATCTACTTCCCATAGATTTTATCCTCTTTTTTTAGTTAAAAGTCGATAATGATAGATCGAATTATCTACCATTGCACAACTAGAGAAAATGGAAGTTTCGTTATTTTCTTCCGCCAGTTTTAGCTCGGTTAATAGAAAAGTAACGTGGATTTTTGATCGTGTACTAATCGTGAGACAAACAGTTTCAAGTTGTTCGTATTTCGGTTAGTTCGCGATGAAACTGCGCCTCTAAAAACGCACTCCTTTTACGCTATTTTTGAAAATCATTTTTTCCAACTTTCCAAACAGTTTTGTTTTTCTTTTCCTGAGAAACACTTTCGAAATTGCATCGACTACATTACGCTTGCGAGATACACGCGCATTATGAATATCTCGAAGAACGAGAAAATGTTAGATGGGACGCTTTAAATAAGGAGGGCAGAGTTTCATCGTGCCGGAGCGAAACGTTACAGCGAATCATTTAGGATTCATTTCATACAAATTGAAGCTGTTTGCACGAGTGTAAAGTTGCAAGGTCGTAAGCATAAAGTTATTAAAGGGGTTAGTTCGATCTAATCGTTTAAACATAGCAATGGCTAATTGCCCGCTCCAGGTAAATAGAAAGAACAAAAAAAAATAGAGAAGGAAGTGAGAAAAGATGGTGGACTCGGTAGATTTTATTCGGTGCATAGCTTGTTTTTCTTCTCCGCGCGAAAGAACGACAACGTCTCGCGTTCTCCTCGCCACTTTCCGCGGGTAAAGTCCCCTTTGGAGAGTTCTCAGGCGTAGCTTCGCAACAATACGAACTACGTAAGATTCGTCTTACAAGCGCTTGCACTTACACTCGAAACGTATCAAAGACGACGGAACTCTCTCGCGTTTTCCGTAGCTC